CGGATTTAGGGGAGGGCAAAAGGGGCGAAAGCCCCGGGGCCTCCACAAACGGGGGGGCCCCCACAATAGAGACATCAAAAAAAAATTTTTTAAATTCCAACTAGTAAACATCTTTTCCTTTGATATTTTTTTTTGCTCTTTTACCTTTACCCAGGGTCGAATTTAAGGCAGGGCAGGTGGGGCCCAGGGGCCTCCACAACAGCTTAAGAAATAACAACATTTCGATGGGTCTTATTGACCCATACAAATCCTAAGTGGCCCGGGGCCTCCACAATCCTAAATCCGGCCCTGACTTCAACAATACATAATTGTGTTAATTTTTAGGATTTTGTAATGACGTTGATGAAGACGCCTCATCATAAATCTTAAGAAAATGTTAAGACAGGCAGGACTCGAACCTTCGCCGTCCGCTGTCCGGGCGAATGTACTAATTACTAAACGGAAGGCTCGGGTTCGATTCCGGTCTGGTAACTGTAGGGCGATTCTGTAAAATACAATCCTAATTCCGATTTCGGTAGCTGCCATTTTCGACCTTAGTGTCGCCGCACAATGGCCGCCGACCACAACCACAAAACGCCGCCACCGGCATATTTCTTGTAGTTTTCATACATTTTATATGGACTCGCCACACACGGTACGCCGGTGGCCGCCACACGCTACAAATCGTCGTTGCTCGCTTCTTGTGGCCCGCACCGGCCATTTAATGCGCCGATACAAAACGCCGCCACACGTCACTCGCGCGATTCCCCACCCCTCTCTCCCTTACCTTAGTCGGCCGCTGTCGCGCGGCTTCTGCCACTTTAGTAGCCGCTTCTAGCTTCTCGAGGCGACGGGCGTTTGTGGCTGTAGCGTATGGCGTGTGTGCGGCGACACTTACTTTGATATGCAGTACACCACCACAGAATGTCGCTTTGTCTATGGAAGCAGCTAGTATTAGATATTCGACATTGGTCAGGAATCTGCTGGAGTCTGTGCGGAAAGAGAATGGGCGTGGCGAAAAACGGAACTAACATTAAGATTTTTATTTGGCAATCAAACTCAGCAATCTGTAACACGTCAAAGTTTTGTATTGATACGGATTTGTTTGTTGTTGCGATTTCTTGCGTTTTTTTTTGTATTTAATCATGTCTAAAAGGGGTAAAACCTTACAAATACGGTAGGAAAGCACTACAGCGACCTCCAAACTAAATCCCATTCTCTTTCCGGACAGACTCTATATGCCTATGCCACAGAATATATACACTACGCGAAAAGAAGCGACACTTAAGCATGTGTGCTCGTAAAATCGGCCGCGGCTATGTGTGGGTGTCTGGAGGTGTGCGGGGGCGTTGCGCGGCGCGCGGGACGTGGAGAGGGCAGTCGCCGACTGCCTCGACCGAAGGGATGGCAGTAGCGAAATAGTAAAATAATAGCGTTGCACTGCATTGCACGCACAGACTGACTACGCTACGCAATCTTATTATTATTTAGATAATAATAAGAATTATAAAACGAATCGAAAAAGGAGAAAATATATAAAAGTTAGCAATTTGTTATAGTACCTACATTAAAAGATTAAAAATGATTATAAAATCAAACCTATCCTTCATTATTTACCCCAGTTTCCTTGAATCAGTTTACATTTAATAACTTACTATGCATATATATTCATTGGCACAAGTCTAAATTCCAAGTTCAACCCTAGCGCATACACGCTCCTGCTCAAGGTCACTGACGCTGGAACTCTCACGTACACAGAGTGTCACCGCTGTGCCTATGCTGCAACATTCTGTAAGATGCGAGCTCAATTACGATCTCATTTATTTCTGATTTTTGACAAATGTCGAATATCTAATGCTGGCTGCTTCCACAGACATGGCAGTGTTTTTTTTTCTAGTAAAATATATCTATCACAGGTAAACGTAAAGACGAGATACAGCTGTTTATGTTGCGCTTTATACGGAACCTTCGGTGGGCGAGATCTTTCGTTTGCACTTCTTCAGTGTTTTTTTGACAAGCATTTAAATATATTCCTATATCTTTATGTCAAAAGGGTGGTCAACAAATACGTGGCCCGCCTGGTTACCATAGCCTGTGGACGCTTCTGATACTAAATAACTCGCACGTTGCCTACTCATAACTCCAACTCCTACCCCGTGAAACCCTGCCCCCCTAGCATGAACATCATCATCAGCCTATTAATGTCCTCACTGCTGGGGCACAGGCCTTCCCTATGGATGGAATAGGGATTGTGCCATGAACCACCGCGCGGGCCCAGTGCGGATTGGTGGGTGCTAACGACTGCAGATGCAGCCGGTACCAACGGCTCAACGTGCCTTCCGAAGCACGGAGGAGCTCGAGATAGTAAATTTTTGGTCACCCATCCAATGACCGACCACTGCGAAAGTTGCTTAACTACAACGATCGCAGCCGATCGAGCTAACCACTTGCGCCATCGAGCTAACCACTTGCGCGTATTCGTCACTTTTTAATTTGGATCGAACCTCCTTGGAAATGCTTTCAATCTATACCTTTGTCTCACTTTAATCCTAAAAAGAAAAAGAGACGTAGGATGTAGTTCACACGCCGCCCGAATTGAGAACCTCCTCCTTGAAGTCGAATAAAAATGGTGTAAACATTTCCTGTTTAGGTATCACATGAAGGTCCGGTTTAGTAAATAAATGGTCCGACAACCTAAACAAGATGACGTCGCACTGAATCAGCCAAAACACATTACGGTACTAAAATAAACAATGCTTCTGTTCTGCGAATGCTGTTACCGCCAGGTGTTGGCCCAAAAGTAGTGATGAGAATTTCATCGAAATCAAATCTTAATATTAGATAGTACCTTTCTAATCATCAGCCTATTAATGTCCCCACTGCTGGGGCACAAGCCTTGCCAGTGGATGGAGTAGGGAGATTGGGCCATGACATGACCCACCACGCGGGCCCAGTGCCGATTGGCGGGTGCTAACGACTGCAGATGCAGCCGGTACCAACGGCTCAACGTGCCTTCCGAAGCACGGAGGAGTGAGAGATAGTAAATTTTGTGGTCACCCATCCAATAACCGACCACTGCGAAAGTTGCTTAACTTTAGCGATCGCAGCTGAACGCGCTTACCACTTGCGCCATCGAGCTCCTCGACTTAAACACATATATTTACATAAATTGAACAAAGCAAGTTAGGCCAACTAGGTCCCTGCCTCAGCGTAATAGGTACTACAGCAATATCAGGGCTGCTGCAGCGCTGATAAAGGTACATAATACCTTTAATATTTGAAATTCAAATATGTATAGGTAGGTATTTATTGCCCCTGTTCCCAGTAGTTTTACCGAGTATTTTACCAGTTAAACTACTGGGAATTTACTTTCCAATAGACCACTGGGAACTTTGTACCCAGGAGACTTACCAGTAAAATAGAACTTCCCATAGTCCTACTCTTATCAAAACCTAGGTAATTTATTCGGCAACACAAGTATTTTATTTGTTGGCTGCATCGAGTGACCAATGTTAAGGTATGAAGTAATACGTCGAGGTGGGAGGAAACGCGAATTAATGCAGACCATCAAACGAAGAAAGGTTGCTTAACTAGGTCACGTGCTTGGGCACTGCAGATATGAGCTTCTTCAGTTGATAATGAAGGGCAAATTGACTGGGAGAGCTGTTGGATGGAGGAAGAAATCATGGCTGTGTAATATCCGAGATTTGACCGGAATCACGAGTGCCGCGGAGCTATTCAACCTCGCCAAAGACCGGGTGAAATATACGGATCTGCGAGCCCGCACTAGTTGGAGAGGCACTCGAAGACAAGTTTTTATGCCATTATAGGTGACAAAATTGTATAGTATAATTCGCAGCACGAAATTTCAGCGCTGACCGTTATTGCGCAGAAGTGAAAATTAAGATGTCTTGGGGGGAAACGAGGTGCGCGGGTGAGCGTGCGTTGCCCCGATTGGCTCTCCAGTCGCAGCTATCCCCTCCGTGTTTTGTTCAGCGCTAGAGTTACGTGCCGCGACATGTAACATCATGTCGAGTCGTTTATTATGTCTGTACATCCACGCAGAAGAAGAAGGAGCAGGCAAACACTGTTGACAACTGACAAGCGTCCCCACCGTCACCGATGAAAAAAAAAACGAATTAGGCCTAGCAAATAATTGACGCTCAAAATCTAGCTAAAAATTCATTTTTATTTGATTTTATTCAGTCTATTGCATGTTAAGGGGGGGGGGGGGGGGGTAGTCGCCTATGCTTGCATGAGCGAATGCTCTACTGCGAACGCGGACGGTCAGCGGCCTTCTGCTTTACGTATCAGGGCAGCACATTTTTTTTTTATAACGCAGGTAAAAAACTTTTTACAGACGACGCCTTTAAGAGGCACACCGCCGAACGGACCTCACACCTGGCTCCCGCAAGTCTTACGGACCCCATAGTGGCTGACCACCGAGGACCCCGCAATTCTTACGGGCGCTTTACGGCATAATATCCGCTAAAAAATTCCTGCGAATACCTTCTACACTGCTTTATGCGAAGCCGCGGGGTCCCCGCGGGGTCCTCCGCACCCAGCAGCTTCCCGGCCTCGCCGGAGCTCCACGGCAGGGGTCTCCCGAGGTATTGCAGGGACCCCGCAGACGTGCGCAGGGTGGCCCGCCTGTGTGGGCTGGGTACGCGGGCTAGTGCCCACCGTACCGCCCCCCGTCATCAGGGCAGCACCCTGCTTTCTACCGGCCGAATGCAGCATGCTGGATCATGCGTCCTCGGGCGTATGATGTGGCGTGCGTAATGCATTTTTTCTCCCCGTTATCGAAAAAAAGGGCTATTGCATGTTATCCTGCCACAATTTGTACAACGTTTTTGAAGTTTTGATAAATTTGCAAAAACGGTTAATTGGCGCCAAATTATCGACACTCTGGGCTGTGCGACTCATCTGTCCCAAAGCCATCACTACACTAGGCGTGCAAGTAATTTTATATTTCCAGATTTACTTTCACGGGATCATAAGGCAGATTATATTCAGATGTGAACCGTGCGTAGCGCGCGCTGGTCGCGACGAGGTGCGTCCGGCCATCTTTAAAAATAGAACTGTTTCCCGCCGCGATTAAATTTGCGTTTCGATGTTGCATGGATATATATGCAAAGTGTGATCGCTGGTGCGTTTAGTTCTTGCAATTAGGTTCTTTTCTGTGTGCACTTTGATTTGTTGGACCATGATCTTGTATCGGTAAGTGAGTACCTTTTCTTTATATACCGTAGTGCCGTGTGTAAGATAATCATAATATACTGTGTAGTTTATTATTAAAATTTAAAGGGTTTAAAAGTGTGGAACGGCATAAAGATATTTACAGGAAATTCTCGGCTATAAAGCTATTACTGGGATCTGTTGCAATGAAACAATATTCTAAGTTCGTGAACGTAGTAACTGTCATTTTAGAAGTGAAGATTTATTTGAATACATTTGCTATTTTATGATACCTACTCACCAACGTCAAATGGATTTTGTGATCTCCGATTTATTGAATTTTATTTTTAGATGTCTCAGTATTCAGAAACTTATTAATGATGTAGATAGCAAACCTATGCTATATTTGCTGTTCTTTTGTTTCGTTCTCTAAAAGCTTTCTTATTTCAAATGTCTATCCATCTCTTATTTGATCTTCCTCTTCCTGTTGTATATCAACATAGATCACCTCTGTGTCACATCGCACAAGTCATAATCTTACCATTTTTTTCATAAAACTATGACCTCATGTCTTTCATTATTATACTACTGATTACCACTAGGTCACCTCTATCATTATTGTAGTATGTAACATGTTTTAACAATTAAAATCTGCAATTCTACCAAAATTGGTTTATTTATTTCCATATTATAAATTATTAATGATTTTATCAATGTATTGAAAAAAAATCATACATTGACTTTTTTTTTTACTATTATCAACAATGATAAATCACATTAATATTATAAAGGCGAAAGTTTGTTAGTGTGTATGTTTGTTACTTCTTAACGGCTGGACGGATTTGGATGAAATATCGCACACATATAGTTTACTACCTGGATTAAGATATAAGTAGTATGCTTTTTATCCCGAAAAAATGTTAGGTTCCTGAGGGATTTCCAAAAAACTTAAGTTAAGGCGGCCGCTCGTTAAATATATAAATGTTGGCACTTAACAAATAACGAGGAGCTCGATGGCGCAGGTAGTTAGCGCGTTCGGCTGCGATCGTTGAATTTAAGCAACTTTCACAGTGGTCGGTCATTGGATGGGTGACCAAAAATTTACTATCTCGAGTTCCTCCGTGCTTCGGAAGGCACGTTAAGCCGTTGGTCCCGGCTGCATCTGCAGTCGTTAGCACCCACCAGTCGGCACTGGGCCCGCGTGGTGGGTCATGGCCCAATCTCCCTATTCCATCCATAGGGAAGGCCTGTGCCCCAGCAGTGGGGACGTTAATAGGCTGATGATGATGATGATGACTTAACAAAAATCATATAGCCCTAAACTAAACATAATGTTTACTACCGATGAGACATAACGTATATGCATACTGAGATACATACAAATATCCGTGACAACTAGGAAAACGCACGTGTTCAGCATATAACGGTACCATTTGCCTCCTCCTAGTTCGAACCTGGGATCGCCAGATTTGCACTTTAGATACTCAGAATTACTCACCCACCGCTAGGCCAAGCCGGCCTTCCCTAATGAAATTAAACAACAATGTTTTCATTATCTTGAAGGAGTACCTAACTTCGTTTTGACAATAAAAAAAGTTTTAATGTAAATTATTCCATAATAATTTACATACATTCCACAATCTTCAAACATAGTTTTTTAATTTTTTTTTAGTGGGTAATGTAATTTTTGGGTAAAATTATTGTAATTATGATTATGAAATGATGATGAAATCACTATAATTATCAAATAGTGGTGTCGATTCTGGCGTGATTCTCAAAACTTAAAAGTAAATTTAACATCAGTCTTTCCCTTTCATTCTGTATAGAGAATGACAAAGATGCACTGGTGTCAGATTTAAGTTTAGCTTTAGAGAATCGTATCAGAATCGACACCATTGTCTTATTTTATAGCGATCGTAATATCCATGCTCGATAATGAATTGGTTTATCTAAACATAATCATTAGTGAAATAAAGTTGATAGTGTACCTAATTAATATTGATCCATTGGAAGTGTTTCATAAATACTTTAGTGTTATTCAAAAGATGCCCCTCTGTTTATGCATGAAGCTGATCGCAGAAATCTACCAAGCACAGGTTCTGCATGAAGAACTGTTAACATCAGTCTATACCGAGGGTGAAGTGGGATACCCGCTCTACAGTGGAATTCCACAAAATCTCTAACTATTATTGCAAGAATAAAGTTCTCAGAGACAACACCTGGGGGTCTACTCTATTTCTCCGAAACGAACTTTTGATAACGAAGTTCAAACGAAAAATTTCGTCAATTTAAGGTTATACTTAATTTAAACGATGAACTATCAAATTGAAGATTTCTTTGAGTAGGCTTAGAAAATCTACACCTCCATCTATATTCCGACTACGAATATTATTATAATTAAAAACTAGGAACATAGTAAGAAAAGTGCAAAGTTTCGATCGAAATTTCGTTTTTCGTTGAACTAGAGCAGGCCTCCTGACTATTTTAGAGAATTGGATATAGATACTGGACTATAGATTCCTAAAAAACAACTTATACAAAACCACCCAATCGATGTAGTAATTGCCGACTAGTTAACACGCAGCACGTTAGGGTGCGGCCAGAGTGCACTCAGATTCAGATTCCGAAAACAAGCGCGAGAAATAAACAGTGTAGTCGAAGGGTACGGCCAGAGTGCACTCCTGATTCAGATTCAGATTCAGACTCAGAAAACAAAGCGCGAGAAAAAGCAGGCAATCTGCTTAGACTACACTGTTTATTTCTCGCGCTTGTTTTCAGAATCTGAATCTGAATCTGAGTGCACTCTGGCCGCACCCTTATGGTATACGTGCGTGTGCAAGTGGTTGTAAAGAGCGCACACAAATTGGTCAGTTTATTTATCCCTTGAACTAACCTCGAAACGTCATTAGTAGAAAATTTATATCTGCGATCTGTACCGAACAGCAGCAGCGATCTCTGTTCTTTTGCCAGATTTTTTTTATGTAATGTGTACATTCATTAGGCACTGAGGGAAATAGGGCCCGATATAAACTGTTTGCGTTTGTTCGGTAAAAAGCAAAACATTCGTGGAATCACCGCAGTTTGCTCGCGCTGAAGTTGATGTTTCAGAGGCTATTATTATGTCTATTTGTTTGGATTATACTTGTTTTTGATGTCTACCTCTCTATAATTACTTGAAACCTAATGAAATTATTATCTGTTAGTGTGAAAGATTTAAAATATTTTTGGTATTCAAGATTTCCTTCTCCTTCTGACTGAAAACAAATATGTCGTTCGTTAGATGCAGAACTTCACCGTTTGTATTTCTTTTAGTGAACATCTTTTTATTAACATTGTAGAGTGTTGTTAACATGATGACACCCAAGTATAATCAATATTTTGGAAGGTTATTTTGCATAACATGATTTTTAATCATGCTACAGAATCGCTAGTTACCTTAGCTGTGATACCTTACCACACCTTTATAGAGTAATCATACCTCTAATAAGTCTATGTAGATTTCTCGTTTTATTTTTTCGTATTAATTATCGTCATTTTTCAACTTGGCGACTCTGTAAATAATAAAACAGTGAGAAAAAAGCAGCCCTTGCTGAGTTCCTTGCCGGTTCTTCTCAGTACAAGGTCTCCCGCCATAGATTTACGAACCGATGGCGTAGCTTCTAGACATTCATGAGTGCTTGTAACAGCCTTAACTGAATAATTGATTTTGATTATTATTATTAGATACTATTTGACTTTCTCCTTATTCTGTAGTATTTTATATTCGCATTATACTAAACATGCCGAAGCTTCATGGGAAAAGAGAATAAAGTTACTTCTATACAATTCTTCCTCATCTTGAGCTCTGCTGCCTTGTGCTACACACAAGATGTGAGCTCAACAAACCTTCTCTATAAAGCGGCAGTCTATGAACCACCGCGTGGACTCAGTGCGGATTGTTGGATGCCAACGCCTGCGAATGCAACCACGATCAGCAGCTTAACGTACCTTCTGAAGTTCGAGATAGGATTCTTTGGTCACCCATACAACGACCGGATATTGCTAAGATTCGCTAAACTTTCACGATCATAAACCGAAAAAAAACAACCAATATGTAATCGAGTTCTCCTATTTTTTGTAAATAAATAGAATTAGAGCCTGTGGAAGAATTAGTGGCTGTTATTATAATAAAAAAGGTAACTTAAGGCTACTCTGCACCTATTATCTTCTCGTCTGGACTCCACATTCACTTAACATGGTGGGATAGAACCAATAACAGGCCACTTTCGGCATAAGATCTATTAGGAGTTGTTCTTAATTCCAACAAGTTTTATGAGCCTCGGAGATCTTTCTAGCGGTTGCCGTATCGTCTAGCTGTCAATCCGTAGATTTGTTTGAGTGTGTCATGTGAAAAACACCTCGTTTTAAATCTGTAACTGTCCGTCGGAAGCTGGGTCAAGGCTGGTACCGTGCAATGTGCTGACATACAAACTCGTTGATGGATTCACTGCACTGTGCTGTTTCTGGCAGGCTACCTGGTGTATTCATGGTGATTGACATCAATATATTGAATTATTTTCAATAATAATCACAAAGGAGACCCGGCACTTTTCATAGAAAAAATGCTAAACTTGTATACAGTTGAATTTGGTCTCAAAATAAAGCCAAAATTATTTGCTACATAAAACTACTTTTGCCTTATTTTTAGTGAATCGTGGAAAGAAGTTATTTAATGATTAATATTTTTTGATATAGAAACCCTTTTGATGACAAACCTACGTATTTGACATTGACAGCTAGCTGCTGATGACAAATATTGCCAGACTACGTTACCCAAATAGGAAACACAGATAAAAAAATTAAAAAAGTATACAACTTTGGCACAAAATGCCGGGTGTCCTTTGCTTTCCACAATTTTTGTACATTATTAAATTACTAACCGAATTAGAAGCTAATGGCAGCCATTTTTGATGGCATTGAAAAAACTAAATGTTAACTAGAATTTGTTGCACTTATAAGGACATGAATGGCAAATTCAAGCGAATAATATATGAACGATAGTC